AAAATAAATGACTAGAAAGTTGACAACAAGCAAAACATCACTGTATTGCTGTAAATCTCAAAAGGTAATTCAACTGACATAAAAAGTACAAAGAGGAATATATTATATTCATTAAGTTAGTCTAACTTAATAAAATAGCTTTGAATTTTTATATACTTCACAAGTCTCATGGGTCACAAGAACAAATTTGGGCTGGTGCCGCAGCTCACTAGGCTAATCCTCCACATGCAGCACCAGCACACTGGGTTCTAGTCCCGGTTGGGGCACCAGATTCTGTCCTGGTTGCTCCTCTTCCAGTCCAGCTCTCTGCTGTGGCCCAGGAGTGCAGTGGAGGATGGCCCAAGTCCTTGGGCCCTGCACCCGCATGGGAGACCAGGAGAAGCACCTGGCTCCTGGCTTCGGATCAGCGTGGTGCGCCGGCCGCAGTGCGCCACTGGAGCAGCCATTGGGGGATGAACCAACGGAAAAAGGAAAACCTTTCTCTCTGTCTCTCTCTCTCTCACTAACCCTCTGCCTGTCAAAAAAAAAAAATTTGATGAAAACAAGCTGAGCTGATACTAAAAACAGAGTATTATGACGGATAATTTCAGCATGTAGCTGCCAAGAATGTGCAGGTCAAAAAAAAATTGGCAAAAAGAGGATTTGTAAAATAAAATTTAACAAGTAAGCCCTCTAATACAGCTTTAGGAAAAAAAAAAAAACTATACTTTCCAAAAACAAATTTTGTGAATGTTAAATCACTGATCAGAATGAAATATTGAAATTATGGGGGCCGACTCCGTGGCGCAGTAGGCTAATCCTCTGCCTGCGGCGCTGGCATTCCATACGGGCACCAGTTCTAGTCCTGGCTGCTGCTCTTCCAACCCAGCTCTCTGCTATGGTCTGGGAAAGCAGTAGAAGATGGCCCAAGTTCTTGGGCTCCTGCACCCTCATGGGAGACTGGGAAGAAGCACCTGGCTCCTGGCTTCAGATCGGCACAGCTCTGGCCATTGCAGCCATTTGAGGAGTGAACCAATGGAAGGAAGACCTTTCTCTCTGTCTCTCCGTCTCACTGTCTGTAACTCTACCTCTCAAATAAATAAATAAAATCTTAAAAAGAAATTATGACAGAAAATAGAATGTACTTATATGGCAAACTTCCAATAGTTTATAGAAAAATGGAATTAAAAGGTAAATGTTTTGATATAAAATAAAATTGCAGCCGGTGCATTGGCTCACTTGGCTAATCCTCTGCCTGCAGTGCTGGCACCCCGGGTTCTAGTCCCTGTTGGGGTGCCGGGTACTAGTCCTGGTTGCTCCTCTTCCAGTCCAGCTCTCTGCTGTGGCCCAGGAGGGCAGTGGAGGATAGCCCAAGTGCTTGGGTCTCTGCACCCACATGGGAGACTGGGAGAAAGCACCCGGCTCCTGACTTCAGATCGTCACAGCGCCAGCTGGAAGGAAGACCTTTCTCGCTGTCTCTCTCTCACTGTCTATAACTCTCTGTCTCTTTCTCACTGTCTAACTCTGCCTGTCAAAAAAATTTTTTAAAATTGCAATTCATTTATATTTTTTCATAACAAATTTTTCATGAAATTCTGTAAACATCCCTTACATACATGGATTTCAAAATTCTATTTTCTGTTAACTTATATGAAGTACTCTTGTACACATTTATGTAAAATATAGAAATACATTTTAGAGGTTTGCTAAATTGCTACTCAGAAAATTTATAGTATCAGATGCATTTTTCTGAAAATTCTGAAACAGTAAGATTTCATAAAATAATCAAATTGAAACAAAATAAATTTTTAAATATGTAAGAAATTATGAATAAATTAAGAAATGGATAATTTAAATGATACCTACAGTCAACAAATTTTTCCAAATTAAAACATCTTTTTCTTGTGTTCCTTCTTACCTTTATTTATATATAATTTCACATTCTAGTAATTACATTCACTTTCACAAATGTAGCTTTAATGCTAAAAGTTTATTAGATTCTAAAATTGTAATTGTTTTCCTCCTATATCCTCCAGTGAAGGAATTATCTCTTGTTTTTCCAGATTCTAGATACTGTGAGCTAACATTGGTTCATGATCTTTGAGCTTCAAAGGACAGGCATCACAACACATTTTTTCTTTTTCATTATAGCATTTTCTCTGACTCCTTTCCCCGTGCTTGTAAAGCCCTGTGGTTACATTAGAACCACCAAATAATCCAGGATAGTCTTCCCATGTTAACCTGCTTAACATCTTCAGAATGCCTTGGGATTGGGTATATAAGGAATACGATTGAAAAAATAACAGACATATATAGCAAATCTGTGAGTATCATCATAATGAATGAGGAAGTGGTGAAATGTTTCTAAGATACAGAGAAAAACAAAGATGTGCACTCCCACCACCATCATGCATGGTAGTGGAAGTCCTGGCCAGAGCAGTCAGACTATAAATAAAACTGAGGGACATCCAAATTGAAAAAAGAGGAAGTTAAATTGCCACTGAACATCAAAAGATTCCACCAAAAATATATTAGAACTAGTTAACTGAATTCAGTAAATTTTCAGGTTAAACATAAAAATAAGATTTTTATATTCTAATAGTGAATTACTGGAAAAGCCAACAAAAATCCATTCCATTTATAATAGCTACATAAGAATAATATACATAGAATATATTTAACAAAAATCTGAAAATATTTAGAATGAAAAATATAAATCATTGAAAGGAATAGAACACAAAATTAGACATTGTATAATTAGCACTGTTAAAATATACTGCCCAAAGCAGTCTATAGATCAAATGCAATCTCTGTTAAAATATCAGTGACATCTTTAGAAATATTTTTTAAAGTTCTAAAATATGTATGGAACCAAAGAAGACTCCAGGTAGACAAATCAATATTGAGGGAAAGAGAATAGCTTTGAAAGCATCATACTACCCAACTTCAGAATATGCTACAAGATTTAGTAACCAAACCACACGGACTTACAGAAAAGCAGGCACATGAAAGAGTGGAACAGGAGTGAGAAAACAATAGAAAATATGTCTCTGCCTCAACATCCAGGTAACTTTCAGCAAAAGTGCTTAGTGCTCCTAATGGGGAAAATGCAAACTCCTTTTAAATACTGCCGGGAAAATGGATATCAACATGCATAATAATGAAATTAGCTTCTTGGTTATCACCTTATACAAAAATTAAAATGGACCAAATAGTTAACTGTAAGAGGTAAAATGACAAATGTAAAGGAAGGGGCAGTGAGGTAAGCTGTCATTTGAGATATCCTACATCAAGTTGTCAGTTTTTAGTCTTGGCTACTCTTCTGATTGGCCTCCTTCTATATGCCTGGTAAGACCATGGGTGATTGCTCAAGTACTTGGGTTCTGCCACCTAGATGGCAGATCTGGGTGACATTCCAGGTTCCTGACTTCAGCCTGGCCTAGTCCTGGCTATTGCAACATTTTAGGAGTGAACCAGTAGATAAGAGATCTCTTTCTCACTTTGCTATCAAAAAATGAATCTTTGTAAAATCTTAAGGGGAAATCTTACATTTTAAGCAACGATATTGTTATGTAAAACTCCAAAGGGACAGGCAACAAAAGCAGATGCAAATAAGCCTACATAAAATTAAAAAAAAAAAAAGCCTTTGCACATCAAATGAATCAACAGAGCCAAGAGAGTACCTTCAGAATGAGAGAATGTATTTGCAAACGATACATCTGATAAGGAGTTATTTTTCAAGATATGTAAGCAGTTGAAGGAAGTGAATGACAAACATAAAACCTGATATAAAAATGACCAAATGTTTTAATATGCCATTTTAAGACACAAATAACTAACAGATGATAAAACATCTAATATCATCATTATGGAAATATGAATCAAGTCTACCTTGAGATATCTCATTAGAATGATTAGTATCAGAAAATCACATGTTGATGAGGGTGTGGGAAAGGAACCATTATACATTATTGGATGGAATAGAAGTTAGTATAGCCTCCATGGAAAACAGTATTGAGGCACCCAGACACCACCAGTGACTCCTGTGGTTGGCAGGTGGTGGGGAAGCCATTTTCCCAGAGCAAGGTGAGGGGAATCTGCAGAAGCCCATGCTCCACTGGTGATCTTATCAAGAGGATAATCTCACAGTTCTCACTGTCTTATAGTCTGGGCTGATGAACTGGTTGGGGACAGAATGCCCATTGTGAAAGGAGGGCACATTGCTTCCTGTCCCTTCCCTCACCAAGGTCCTGGTGACCAGAAGAGGAGTCCCATCTTCCCAGAATAAGATGAGTGGTACTGCTGCAGCCTGCTCTTTTGTGGATTTTGTCAGAGAGAGAAAGCTGGTCCCCACTGGTTCAGGTGGGTGAACTGACAGGGGCAGGGTGCTCACACTCTATGAATGGAGGACACATTGCTTCCCTCCCCTCCAGGTGACCAGAAGGTGACATCTCACCTTCCCAGAAGAAGGTAAATAGAAGCTGCTGTGACCCATTGTGCCTCCGGTGGATTTTTTCAGGGATAAATCTGAACTCCTCACTGATTTGAATCTGGCCTGGTGAGTTGATGAGGAGCTGACATGCCCTTGGCATTATTCCTGACCCTCTTTCTACAAAAGCATTGAACTCAGCTTGCCAAGGTGGACCACTAACTAACCTCTCTTGGGGAAGTGGCTAGCTCCAGTACAGGACAGCTCTCTCTTTGGATGGAGAGTCTTGTGAGGCAGACCGTGGATCTCTTTCATCCTGTAACTGGGAACCCTATACCATGTTACTGGGAGTCCTGTGACTTTGTGATTGGCTGGGAAACTGATAAGGGAGTGTGGATGCGTCTTTGAACAGTTACTGAGTGAAACTCCAGAAGCTCAGAATTCCCAAAGTGCTGAAAATTGACATCAGAGAGGGCTCCATGCTCACACTATAAATTCTTTGTACAGTTCATGTGCCTGAGTAGGGTTCAGCTAAAGTGAGCTCACCCTAAGCAGTCAGTTCATGTTGTCACAGAGAAGGGCAGAGGTAGTAATGGCACCAGATGGGATCATCATCCCCTCTGCCCTACTGACTACAGCGATCTACCAGGTACAACTTAGGTGCCACCTGAACTTTTGCCCTCTCAACATACACTGACCAGAATACTCTGGCCCCACCCAACATACTGCTGTGGATATGCCCTAAAGGTGAGGGTATTTCTTTATGCCTAGGGGCACATTCTGAAGAACAAAAATTTCAGAGAAGATATCCACAAGTGTTTCTCCAGATACATAAAAATAAGTGTAGAAAAATAAGCAACATGAACATGGAAAACAACATGGCTCCATAAAAGGAACATAATACATCAGTCTTAGATTGTGAAGAGATTGTGAAGATGGGGGACAGCACCGTGACTCACTTGGCTAATCATCCACCTGCAGTGCCGGCATCCAATATGGGCACCAGATTCTAGTCCCAGTTGCTCCTCTTCCAGTCTAGCTCTCTGCTGTGGCCCGGGAAAGCAGTGGAGGATGGCCCAAGTGCTTGGGTGCCTGCACCCGCATTGGAGACCAGGAGGAAGCACCTGGCTCCTGGCTTCAGAATGCCATAGTTCTGGCCACAGCAGCCAAATATTTGGGGGTGAACCAACGGAAAGAAGACCTTTCTCTCTGTCTCTTTCTCTTTCTCTCTCTCTCACTGTCTAACTCTGTCAAAAAAAAAAGATTGTGAAGATGATATTGATAAAATACCTAAAAAGGTATTAAAAATGATTTAAGTATTCAAAAACACAGAAAAGCAATTATGTGAGGTAAACAAATTTTTGAATTACAAAGACGATAAATTGTGGGAAATAAAAATATTAAAATTCAACTGAAGTGTTAAAATGAATAATTCAATATTTGAAATAAAAAATACAATGGAACACTTAAACAAAAACTTTGGTGAGGCAGAAGAAAGAATATCCAAGACAGAAGGCAAAGCTTTACAATATATCAGATAAGGGGGAAAAAAGGAAATACACATTCTCTCCTCAGTGCATATAACGTTGCCTAGGATGTGTCATATAGTAGGCCATAAAAAAGCTCTCAACAAAACCAAACCGTGTATCATTTCTGATTACAATTGAATGAAACTGGAAATTAACATATAAGCAACTCTAGAAAATATAAAGACATGGAGACTGAACAACATGCTCCTGAATGAACAGTGTAACACAAAAGAGATCAATAGAGAAAAGAATTCTTGAAACACATGAAGATAACAACTGAACATATCAAAGCTTAAGGAACACAGCAAAAATTAGTGCCTACATAAAGAAATTGGAAAGAGATCAAATAAATTATCTGACCGCACATCTCAAGGACATAGAAAAACAACAAACTGAACACTATATTAACAGAAAAAAGAAAATAGTAAAGTGAAAAATTACAAAAGGGTGTAATAAAGAGTTGTTTTTTTAAAGAGTTGGTAAACCATTGGCCAAATTAAAAAAGTGAGAGAAGACTCAAATTAATAAAATCAGAGATGAAAAGGAGATGTTACAACTGCTACTAAAATAAAAAGAATCCAATTCATTCTCCTGCCCCAATGGTCACTGCAGCCAAATGCCTCACCCATCTGACAGCCTAATCCCACTTCTCTTCTCTCCAGCTTCGTGCGGCCCCATCTCTCTCCCACCTGGTGGCATCTGCTTGCTTGCCTCCTCGTCTTCAGCCTGACCAAGCAGCTCGCCCTGCTGCACCAATGAGACAAGGAGTTCATGTGGGCCCTGAAAAATGGAGACTTGGACAAAATGAAAGACTCTGTGGCCAAGGGAGAAGATGTCAACAGGACACTAGAAGGTGGAAGGAAGCCTCTTCATTTTGCAGCAGGTTGTGGGCAGCTTGAAATCCTGGAATTTCTGCTGCTGAAAGGAGCAGATATCAATACTCCAGATAAACATCGTATTACTCCTCTTCTGTCTGCTGTATATGAAGGTCGTGTTTCCTGTGTGAAATTGCTTCCGTCAAAGGGTGCTGATAAGACTGTGAAAAGTCCAGAAGGACTAACCACCCTTGAAGCCACTGACAACCAGGCAATCAAAGCTTTTCTCCAGTGATGGGCTGATAATGCGGGAGGAATGACTCTCCTGTGGCCTCCTACTGATGCCTGTCTGTCACTATCTGCCAGATTCTTCAGCTAAGTACTTTATGAGGGGTGAGGGGAGAGATACATGCATAACAAATCAGACTACTAGAAAAAATAAAAAGAAACAATGTTTTGGAGGAGAAGGAAGAAAACATGGTCAGGCTTTCTAGGATTCCTGATCAACTTAGCCTCTTTTCCTTTGCTAATGAACTACACAGTTTATAACCCCAGGGAGAGCAAAGACAAAATATACCAGGAACATTTGACCTTTTCAGCTCCTTAGCTAGTGTGTTAATTAGTTTGTGTTGGAAGTCTAATTATACAAAGGCCTATTCCTAGCTGCAAGCAGTAGTGGCTGCTGCAGTGTAAACTTAGTGTGCTGAGGTAAGCAATTAGCTATAGCCTTCTGCCTTAAGAATGCACTCTCCTGGGGACTCCTTGGCACTGTTAAGAGTGCTGCCTGTGGTAAGTGACCAAAGTTTTCCTCAGTGACCTCAAGCTTTATGTGAAAGCTCAGTTAAGGTGAGGAGGGGCACACTCCTAAATTACTGGGTGACTGAACTTTGGATTTTCTCTCCCCTTTCACATGGATTTGATGTCTCATTAGATAAAACTGACTAGTTTTATTTATAAAATCCTAAATTTTAGACGTCTAAAGGAGAAATCATTCGAGTATGCATATTTTTTCTTCTCTAGATTCAGACATTTATATAACATTGAAACACTTCCAAACTCCTGCTGGTAGTTAAAGGGGATTTAAAAATAGAATCATAGCCAATGTGTTTTTTTTTTTATTTGACAGAGTTAGATAGTGAGAGAGAGAGATAAAGAGAAAGGTGCCAATGTGTGTTAGTATCATATAAAGAGATAAGAGTTGTGTTAGTACCTTATGGATTTTTTTTATTTCCTGTTTGAATGGATTGACCTCAGATACTTTGGAGAATCAGGGACCATCGTTTGGAATGCCTGTCTCAGACCTGTCTTGGATGCTGATTATTTAGTGTGTCAAAGCTATCACTGGGATAAGATTTACTGTTTGGACAAATTTAACCACATCCCTTCAAAGATGTCCTTGTTAACCAGGTTTCCATGAGTTATAGGTTTCTACTGAACATATGCCAACCCGCCTACATATATTTAATGGCCTTTTTATAAATCATACATTGCATAAAATGTGACAACTTCAAAATATACTCATATTGTGTTCTTAGAATACAATGCCCTAAAATGATGATATTATGACCTGACTGGAGAAAGTTTAGGCACGTCTCAAAATATTTATTTCATAGGCAGTACAATTAATTCAAATATATACCCTTAGATTGGTTATCTTGAATTTAAAATATTAAGATTCCTTTGCTATGTAAGCTTACTGAAATTATTGGAGTTTTTCTTTAAGGCCAACTCATGCAATAATTGAATGTACCTCAAGTTTTAAAAGAAGCAGGGAGGAAGCTAAATTTAGGGACTTATATTCAGATTGTAGATAATTAAGAATTAATGATTTTTAAAGCAATGTAGCATTCATTCTACATCAGGGTTAAACCATGATCAAAAATGGTCAGTTTGGCTTATAGCAAGTTTTACTGATCAGTTACTAATTGACTGGTTGGCATGTCTGTCGGGGGAGGGGGGGAGTTGGTATGGGTGTATATGGGTTTTTCCCATGAAAACTTTTTTTAATCCTCTGGCTTTTTCACTTACAACTAACCTAGCCCTGTAGTTTTCTCATATCCAAGAATACAATCACAAAAGGGTGTTTAAATACTTGGATATATTTGGCTAGTTCTGATAACAATGCAGCCTATTAGAGTTGGACATCTTCATTGAACCTGGAGGGCATTCTGTAAGTCTATAACTACCAACATAGTGCACCAGGGTATCTTTGTTCCACCTCTTGGCAAAATACTACTCAAAAGGCTTGAGTTTTTCCCTTTGCTTTCCAAGTATTTTCCTGTAGTTGGCTATTGTAGAGAGTATGTTGTCCTATCATTCCTAAACTTGGTTTGCTTTCTATGTAAATATTATAGGGAAACCATTGGGATTCTTTGTATAGTTTGTCCTGATCTGATGTTCCTTCTAATGCAGTAGAGGCTATCTCACTTTCCCTCTTCTATCTCAGCCATTTTATAAACCCCATAATTATGAAGCAATTGCCTGAGAAAATAACGTATAAGGATTGAATAGTATAGACTAAGGTAGTTTACACTTTTTTAAGTAGGTTATTTATAATCTATTTCTGAACCACTTGGCAGAGAAATTCACAATACTTAATGTTCATATTTTGAGTAAAGGAATCTAAAATTTTCTGCTTTTTGGTACTACATGCATTAGCAAAAGGTTAAGTAAGTTTTGTTCTCCACTAAAATACTATTTAACATCTCAGAAAAGATCTGCATGTTCCGTAGTTTTGTATTAAATCAGTTATTTCATATGCACTAGCTCAAGTAAAAACAGGTGGTTTACCTATTGACTAGTGTACTAACAAGGCCCCTCTTGCAGTTATAGTTCATATACAACACCTGAATAGTTATAGTTCGTATGCAACACTAAGTAGTTGTTAACCTTTCTGAACCCATTGAAGCATTTCACTAAGATCTGTAACCAGACAAGGATACTGATTTTCACCATTGCAATTCAATATAGTTCTTTAAGTTTTCAGCCAGAGCCATTGGGCAAAAAAAGAAAGGGATACATATCAAAGAGGAGGAAGTCAAATTATCCCTGTTTGCATATCTCACACACACACACACACACACATTTATATGTCAAAAGACTACACTAAGAAATAATTGGAACTTATGTTCCGTAAAATTGCAAGATACAAAATCACACAGAAATCAATAGCTGGTAATGCACAGAAGATATGCACAGAAAATATTATGGCTGAGAAAGAACTTTTATAACAGTACCATTCACCATAGCAACAAAAATTCACTTGGAATAAATTTAATCAATGATTTTATTTTTTTTTCATTTTTTAAACCTTTTATTTAGTAAATATAGTTTTCCAAAGTACAGTTTATGGATTACAATGGCTTTTCCCCCATAACTTCCCTCCCACCCGCAACCCTCCCATCTCCCACTCCCTCTCCCATTCCATTCACATCAAGATTCATTTTCAATTATCTTTATATATAGAAGATGGATTTAGTATATATTAAATAAAGATTTCATCAGTTTGCACCCACCCAGAACATAAAGTGTAAAATACTGTTTGAGTACTAGTTATAGCATTAATTCACATTGGACAACACATTAAGGATAGATCCCATATGAGGAGTATGTACACAGTGACTCCTATTGTTGACTTAACAATTTGACACTTTAAATATCTCTATAATGAAAATTGCAAAACATTAAAGAAATAGAAGAAGACACAAAGAATAGGAAGATCATCCATGTTTGTTAATTAGAAGGATTAATAACAAATGCATGTAATATCCAAAGCAATTTACAAATTCATTGCAACACTTATCAAAATACCAAGGAAATTCTTCACAGATCTAGAAAAAAACAATGCCAAAATTCATATGAAAACACAAGAGACCTCAAAGAGTTAAAGTAGTCAGCAAAAACCTGTAGGTATCACAGTACTAGATTTCAAGTTAAATATGGGCAGTTAAAATCAAAGCAGCCTAATACTGCCACAAGAATATACATGTAGCCCAATGGAACAGAATAGAAATCCCAGAAATGAATCCCCTTACCTACAACCAAATAATTTGTGACAAGAGGGCTAATATCAATCCTTGAAGATAGGACAGTCTCTTCAACAAGTGGTGCTGGGAAAATTGGATCCCTGCATGCAGAAGTGTGAAATAAGACCCCTACTTTACACCTTACATGAAAATCAAAGTGAATCAAGGATCTAAATCTATGGCCTGATGATACTCCAAACTGCTAGAGGAAAGCATCAGGGAAACTCTGTAAGACACGGACATAGGCAAAGACTTCTTGGAAAATACCCAAAAGTATAGGCACTAAAAGAAAAAATAGACAAAAGCTTCAGTAGTGGGCCGGCACTATGTTGTAGCGGGTAAAGCCACCACTTTCAGTGCCAGCATCCCATATGGGCACCAGTTTGAGACCCAGCTGTTCCACTTCCTAACCAGCTCTCTGCTGTGGCCTCAGAAAGCAGTAGAAGATGGCTCAAGCCCTTGGGCTCCTGCACCCATGTGGGTGACCCAGAAGAAGCTCCTGGCTCCTGGCTTTGGATCAACACAGCTCCAGCCATTATGGCCAACTGGGGAGTGAACCAGCAGATGGAAGACCTCTCTATCTTTGACTCTCTTTCTCTGTGTAAGTCTGACGTTCAAGTAAAATAAATAAATCTTAAAAAAAAAAAAGCTTCAGGATTGCAAAGGAAACACCCAACAAAGAGAAGAAGGAACAAACAGATTGTGAGAAAATATTTCCAAAGTGTGCAACTGATGAAGGATTAATATCCAGGTTGTATAAAGAACTCAAGATATTCAACAATAAAAAAAAAAGAATCCAGTCAAGAAATAGTCAAAGGACTGAACAAGCATTTTTATTGCATTTATTGCAAATGTTCACAATAGTTAAGATACGGTATCAACCCAGATGCCCATCAACTAGTGACTCAATAAAGAAAATGAAGTATATATGTTCTTTGGAATACTACTCAGCCATAAAAAATATGAACTCCTGTCTCTTGCAAGAAGGAATGCAACTGGAAACCATTATATTTAGTGAAAGAAGCCAGTCTTTGAGACAAATATCATGTCTTTGATATGTGGCAGTTAACATAGAATACAAAACTATATATTAATGAAGTGGACACGTGATATGATTATTGCTTTTTAATCTCTGTTTATACTGCAGTTCAGCTGTGGTCTTCCTATCTTCTATTGAATTTTATGTTTAGTGATAAATTTAAGCCTGTGATTATACAGCGGAATAAAATTACATCTTTGCCTAAATTAATAAAAGAAAAACGGAAGGAGGGGAATTAGAGGAATAGGTGGAGGAATGGAAGTATGGTTATCTTCTTATAATCGTAACTTCTCATCAAATAAAAATTTTATGCCCTATTTTGTCATGTTTTCCTTGAAATTATCTAAATGAAAAGTTCTATATATTTTAGGCCAGCAATGGAGCATGTTTAAACCAATAAGTCTTGTCATGAATACCTTTGTGACAAAGAACCCAGCATTTGCTTGGCAGCTTCGGACAAAACTGGATAATAAAATCTTCATTTTGCAGGCTGAAATCTATTTACTGCCAACTTTCACTCTATAGTTGACATCTAAGCACTGTCTAATCTATTCACATTGGAACCCGCAACTGTCTCCATCTCATTAAGTATGTCTTCTTGGTTTATGTGGAAATGGGATTCTAGTTGCCAGTGACTGTTCTGGTGGTTTTTGCAAACTCTGATCACAGAAACTTATGTTTTACTGGACTGCTGTAAATGCCTTTTACTGTTGACATCATATTTTTAAAATTTTTCTGAGTTT